TAGTGATCGTTTTAGCTCTTTTCATGTTATAACTTACATATTCATCATATTTACTATTAATATTTTGAGGAACAATTTTAAATCTTTCAATTAAATAATTGATTGTAGTATATAAATAAATATCACTACTTGGAACGTTTTTACTGTACTTATTAAAAAGCCCAAAAATATGTGTATTTACACATAATATCAGTTTTTAAACGATCAAGAACTTTATTTAATTTATTGCTTGGTGTCGACTTGATTGCAAATGTAATGAAATAAATTTTTAAATACTGGTCATTGTATAATAAAATTTACTTAGTGTGTAAATAATCTAAAGATTTTAAATTTTCTAAGTAAAAAAATAAATAAAGTACCGACCATCATAGGGGTTGATTTTTTTCAATGGGCTTAAACAGTAATTAATTTGCTTTTAGGTTTATCTAGTACAGGTTATTTCTACATCTACACATTATTTTTTTTTTCATCGATGTGTATGTTTTTTTTTCAAATTATCTTTTGATGGTTTCATTTTGTTCTAATACATTTATATTAAGTGTAATCAACAAGATGAATTTATATCGTGATCGACAGCCATCATACTTTAATATTATAGTTGTGGTTCATGATGATGCTGTAAATTCCAGGTTAAGGAGTCTTGAGATTTATTTAGGAACCTTTAAATTTACACTATACTTTTATAACCACGTGGTTATTACTTATTAAATATTGTTTGTAAAAAAAAAAAAAAAATAAAAAACAAAAATATAAAATATCTTTAAGCCTTAATATGAATAAAAATATTTATTTAAAAAAAAATAGATTTTGAAAATAAAATATTTGAAACTTCTTAATGTCTTCCTTAAAATTTAATATCTTTTATTATTAGTGAAATATATACGATACGATACAAAAATTAGCTTTAACAAAAGCTAGAATGATTTAAATATTACATTATATTTTATATTTAATGTTTTATGAATATAAAAATAAAATTATAAATATTTTTTTAATTTCATATTGGGCCTCAAAAATAATAATTCTGGTCTGATTCTATGAATAATTAATATAATATCTAACGTTATATTTACGATTTATAATCACATATAATTATTTCGTAACTAAATGATTAATTTAAAATTATAAGTATTATAACTATAAAAAATTGAATTTAAAATTTCAATTTCTCTTTTTTTTTATTTATTACAATTACAAAGAATATAAGGGTTTCAAATCTAATTTTGTGTCAATTAAATATATTATGTATATTAGATCTAAAAAGTATAAGCTAGTTTATACTTTATATTAGGTCCTATGATATAATATTAAAATGTATATATTAAAAATTAACAAAATGGTATTATTATTAACGTTATATATATTTTTTTTCATCGTAAAAAAGGTTACCAGTCAAACAGTTGAAACAGTCAAAGTAATAAAAAAACTATTAAATAGAATTTTGCGAAATGACCAAGAAGCCATACAAGAAGTAATATAATCAATAAAAATTTATAAATAATGTAAACAAAAATCACTTAGTTGCGTATTTTACAGTTGATAAAAAAACGATGTATTTTGGGCCGAATAAAATTGGATAGTTCTTGTCATTTAGCTGTATTAAAGCTGGAATTGAAGTCATTGGGAAACCGTGAAAAAATTAAAATACCTACTTATACATACAATAATTATTCTTCTTGGTATTTGAAAAAACTTAATGTTCAACGTTTATTTCGTATATGGAGCAATATGATCATCAAGACTGTCAATATGCCTATAAACAAAACCAACAACTAAATTTTAAATACTGTTGTTTTACCTATTTATTTTAGTTGTTTCAATAGTTTTGTATAGTACTTAAAAATATTAAGTATAATTTATATAAATAACATTATAAAATTTGAGAATTATATTCGATTATTTATGGCAGAACGAATAAAGTTTCTTTGATAAGAAAGTATAAAAATTTTTTTACTTTTAACCGCGCAAAGCACTAACTAGATCTGATTTTATGCTAGAAACAACACTTAAAATTGAAAATCGAAATAGGTATATAATTACTGCCCTAACAGATAGTTATAGACAAAAAAAATTTCATTGTTATAAAATCAATACATTTATTGTTCCGCTCGTAATCTAAAAAAGTTAAGAGTACTTTAATAAATATTTTTTATGAGCGTCTGTAGTTTATTTAATGGAACTTGCTAAGTTTATGTATATTATTTATCTAATGGCATAAACTTTTGCCTATTTATACTATGAATCTACTAAGGTTATAATTCTTCGGTAATGACAATAGCGAAATCGGCTCTATAAATTAATTAGAAGAATACATTTTATAAATTTATACTATTATAATAATTAGGTATTAATGATATAATACATGTAATGTACCTAACTGGAACTAAAAAAAAAATAATAATCATAAATTAATATATAGTAATACAAATAGTAAAATAAATTACTTGAAAAAACATTTTCGAAAGATATAACATCATAATACATACTATAGGTTAACAGAGCTGTCTTTGTTCAACATTGATTTTTGTTAACAATGATCTATCATTAAATTCAAATCAAGCATAAAAATTACAACGATGAGGTACACCAACTGTGCAGTATACCGGTTAGGTACCTATATTTTCTCCATTTTAAATATTTTAAATTTTGTTTTATTTGATTATTAATTTATAAATAAATTATTTTAGGTTTTATAATTAAATAAAAAATAAATACAATTATTATTAATTCAACATCTTATTTCAATAAATTTCCTGATTGAATTGCAAAATGTAATTATTCTTGAGACAGTTTCCTTTTATTTTAAAAAAGGTATTAGTTGTATTCATTTTATTAAAATAATAATTTTAAATTATTTCAAAATTCATTGAGTATAGTGTTTAGTTGAATATTATATCAAGTAAATAATTGTAATAATTTATTGAAAATTTTATCACGAATTAGGCAAATTTAGATAATTCAGTTTGTATTTATTTTATTTATTTCAAGTATTCTATTTCACGATTCTAAGTACTAAAGTACGAATACATCATTAAATGCATTATGTCTGTATCTAAAAAAAAAAAATGAATACTAACCATAACTAAGCTTTGTAAAGAAAAATATTTGTATGTAAATTGCTACCTATTGGTTATTAGTAAGAATTTTTATTTATTATATTAGTGGATAATGGATATACGAAGAGAAAGAAAAAATTATGTATATTGTATATAATATAAATATATAGGTAGGTACACACAATAAGTATAATAATTGGTAATAATATCATTAAATTACTTAAGTGACAGTAAGAAAAATTGGTTGCAGTTCACTATTATTTATATAACTAATTTAAATATTCACTACGTCTATTATTAAATTTTTAGCTATAACATTTGTAGTGTAAGCGCCGTAAGTGGAAATAAGTTAAGCTATACATATTTATTTTAAAAAATTAGTGAAATAATCGTTTAATTACTACTTATAACTTTATATTTAGTGTGTTTCAATGTGATATGAATATTGAGTAGGCACATTATGATAAATTAACAAAGCTATAGGGTTATTTCGATTTTAGATGTTAGTGGATAAATTAATATTTTCTAAACTAGAACCTTTTAGACTCAATTTATTATCATTTTAAAACTTTAACATTTAATAATTTATCAGTAAACTTTTTCCTAAAAAATATTATATTACACAATAGATATATTATAAAATTCTTTAAAAAATAATTAAGCTTATTAAACCAACCAATATAATGTAAAAAAATATTACCTGTTATTGTGTATAAAAAAAATATATTAATTATAAAACTATAGTTTACTCACATTGTACATTATTTACATCATAAATCATATAAAATCAATTTAATTACTTATATAATATATATATACAGGAAAGTAGAATCGTTATTGTCAATAGAAATAATAATGTAAGTATAAATTTACAATTTTCAAAATATTTCAAGTGAATATCTAATTACTTATATCATACATTTAACGATTTAACATTTATTAAAAAAATAGTTTAATATTTTATGTATGTGGTATTGTCATTTATATTGTCACAATTAAACAAAATTTTATATCGATAATTTACGCCTAGATGCGAGCGCTGCGTAAAGCGCATGGCTTTGCCAGACTTCGTCGGGAGGAAACTAAAGGCTGCAGGTCTGTTAGCGGCGATAAAGCTCCCCAATATCAAAATATATCGCTTACGGTACACTTCACCTGAGCGAGTGTTACGAATTGCTACTATATTTAAAAATCTAAAGAAGACGTAAGTAAAAAATTCAATAAGACATTTACCTAGTTATTAACAATTTATTTTGATTTAAATATTGTTTAATACATTTCACTTTAAATTTATTTGTATAATTTAAATGATCGATTTAGCGGGCAGTTTAACTATATCCAGAAATATTGTAATTACATTGCATTTTTCTTTAACTAACTCTATGAAGTATTTAAATGAATTCAGTTTATATATTTTTTAAATTTAAACTATTATAAATTTAAATGTTTTAAATAAAATAATTTATTTCGTATAAATTGTAATATTTTATTTAAATAAATAAAAGGACATTATTTAAATATTAATTTATAGTAAATTATGACCATAAATATTTATAATTAGAAATAGTAAAAAAAAAATTACTATAATTATACTATTATCTGCATACTGTTTCAGTATAAAACTCTATATTGATAATTTATACATTGACCACTATAATAGTAATACAATAATTTGTTTTTTATTATTATTTTACTATCCTTATTAATTATTGTTACCATAGAGCTTTTAAATTTTTCATTTTTATTTGTGACAAAGATAAATATAAAATAATTAATATATCATTTATTAAAATAAAACAGAACTAAGAAACCAACAAACACCAAATCTTTTTATAGAAAGTAAGCTTAAAAAGGTAATTAAATATTTAAGTATTCATATAGATAAAATATAAATAAATATTATAGTTTATTTATTTAATCAAATATTTAAAAATAATTCCAAAATTATTTTTATACTTAGTAAAATACTTTTATTTGGAAATAGTAAAATTGGAAGAGTTAAATAAAACTTAAACGTAATTAATATATTTAACTAAGAAACAAGATACGTGTTTAATATAAAAAATATAATAAAAAAATATTTCAGTACTTTTATCCATACATAAAAACTTGACTACTTTACGATACATACATTGATAAAAATATTAGTCATAAAATATAACTTTTTAGTCAAAATTGTACGTGCAAATAATACGAGTTGAGTCGTTTTTAAATTAATAATTTATTTTACAAACATGAAATTATAAACAATATACATTCTATTTTGATTTGGAAAATTTTTTTATATTTTAAAAAAAGTGATGTACCTATATTTAATTTAAATTTTTAAAATTAGTTAGTACCTACATTATAAATATATATTTCATTGTAGCCTATTGATATTTTCTTAAAAGTTGAAAATTTTCATGAAATTCAATACAAGGAACTGCTATTTTTTTAATTTATTAAAAATTTAGATTTTTATCTTCATTCATCAACATGGATCCCGCAGTATTAGCCAAATTGGAAGAAGGTTGGTGTTCACTAAACTCTTCTAACAGCAAATCTTTGCTAAAAAAGTATCTGACAAAAGAGGTACTAGATGAGTTAAAGAACAAAAAAACAAACTTTGGATCTACGCTTTTGGATTGTGTGCAATCTGGTAAGCCTATGTTCAAAATAATGTATAAAATACGTATATTATGTTATTATAATTATCAAATACGTAGGTATTACAACACAGTGAAAATAAACTACATTTAAAAATTAAAGTTATTCAATAATCGTCATAACCTATAGATATAAAAGTTACGGTATTAATATTTATAAAAATAATTATTAAAAAAAATGGAAAATTAAAGATACTTGTATTATACCTGGTAAATGCAGTACGATTGTAGTTTTGATGAATATCTACACAAATAATATAATTAGAAATAAATAACATAAACTGTAATTATATGGCATAAAATATTTTAGTTAATCAAAATATAATAAGAAGAATTAAAAACAAACTTTTAGTTAAATTGTTTTAAAAAGTAGTATTTTAGGTTGTATAATAATTAATAATTTATATTTTATTTTAAAAATTGTATATAATATAGCATTTACTATACACATTAATTTAATTTAAAATAAATGCTTTAAGTATTGTTATTTATTAAAATATATCATAGAATTTCTTTTAACTATATTATATAGCAGTTATGATTGTAATGAACTGCGTTAACTATATTAATTTTATAATACTAGTTAGGTAACTATTCAACTATAGTAGATAGTAAAACTATGTTTTAAAAATTGGATAAAAATTTTTATATTCCATATTATAAAATGCCTATAGCGATTTTTAAATGTAATTTTTTTAGTTTGATTTATTTTTTTTTCGAAGTAGTATCGATGGACATCCTTTGATCAAGTTTTTATCTTTATCAATTTTACGTTTTATTTTTTTTACAGTAAAAAATATTTTTCAATTCAGCTGTAAAATAATTAAATGATGTAGTTTAGTCATCATCATTCAAATATATTTAAAAAAAATATGATTTTCAATAAATGGGTATTTTAGTTTAATTTGAATAACTATAAAATAAATTAATAAAATAATCTAATTTACAAATTATAGGTATTATTTTTTTTATTACATAAGAAATATTTATAGACTATAGTTTTTAATTAATATTGTTTTTACAAATTGGAGTAAGTACTAATAGTCGTTTCAAATCAAATTTTTTTTTACGT